TGTCAAACACATATAATGCTATATTGCATTACGCGTCTAAATGGGTATCTTACAAAACCAAGAACATGCCTGGGTTATGATTCACGTCACTATGATTTTTATTATTTGCACATTTTATTGAAATAAAATGTGAACCTATAAATAAATTTAAAAAAAGTTAATGAGATTTTGGAGTGAAGAAATTTTCCTAATAATCAATCATGATGCAAACATTTTTAATAGTCTAATGGTAAACTAAATTGTTTTATTATTTCATTTTAATTTGTTTTGAACCTAAACATGTTCTTGACAGGATTCATGAGCTTTACCCAAATCATGGTCTTCATAAGTTTAAACGGCTGTGCTGAAGCCTTGTTTGAGTAGTTTCCTTTTGCCCTCTTATCCGATTGTTTCACATAGACCTTCAGCTACACTTTGCTGATGCCACACTGAGGGTTTACACACAAGCAACACTAAAGTAGGGAGTTTTTTTGGTGTTTTACATCCGTGCTTGTTACTGTGCTGATGTTCAGTCTTCAGGATGTTCACATGCAGCATTCATTCCCTTCAGTTTTCATGCAGCCCCAGCTTTATTTATAGACATCTTTATTATTTGGTACGCCATTGGAGCGTCTTTTTCCTCCCTCTTTTGCACTGAGGGTATCTGGCATTGTCAGAGCATTGTGTAAATTCACTACCAACGTTCAGCCTGTCTCCACCCCCTCCTTCACATTACCATGGCAACAGCCTGTTGCATAACTCCTAACCGCAAAGTCTCGTCTGTCCGTCTCCGTGGAAACCATGTCTCTCTCCTTTTTTTCCCCCTGCTGTTTTGCTGTGTCCCTCCATCTCTGCTTCGCTCGCTCGCTCGCTCGCTCTCTCTCTCTCTCTCTCTCTCTCTCTCGCTTTTATGGTCTTTCTTCACCTCTGTGTAACTTTAGTTTTGTGCAAGGTGCCAGCCAGATGCTTGATCCGTGATCTTTGAACTTGTCAAATTGCACAAATTGAAATTTGGCATCAACAAAAAAAACTTGTCATAAATTGTGACCTGCTTGATGACCGTGCTTCTGCTGCGCAAGAGAAAATGGTGCAGATGCTGCATTATTGGTGTACCTGACACAGATTTGGCGTTAACAGTGTGTCAGCAGTGCAGAGAGTTCAGCTCATGGTTACGGTCAGATGAGATTGTATCTGTCAAGTTCTTTGCATTCATGAACCTCATGTGTGAAGAAGAGTGGCACAGATAAGCTACGTCTAAGAGATGTCTAAGCAAAAGGTTAGAAGTGATTTGAAAAAAAGTAAAGTGTTTTTTTAACTTTATTTTATGTATGTATGTATGTATGTGTAAACTAGTGCTGTCAATCTATTAAAAATTAACTTAATCACGCTTAATCCCACCTACCATTAAAGTTTTTGAATATATTTTTATATTGCAACACTTTCACATTCAATCTTTAAATTACTGTGGAAATAACATAAAGAGCTGCAGCTGGTTATTTGGGTGCTATTACTTTAAGAGCTACCACTGCTGAACGTAACACAGATCTGACGTGCATGCTCGTAGTTTCATTCGCACTTTAATATACAGGCTACAGCGCGCATATAATTAAAGAGCATGCACTATGAGCACAGTATATAACGGCTGAAAGGACAGGAAAATTAGATTTTACTGGCATATGGCCTGACAACATCTCATCTGAGCGCAGTTCACTGTTGTTCAACTGAAGCTCCTCATCACCTGTACGTTTCTGCGCTCGTTTGACTAGCGCTGAGGTGAAGTTGGAGTGCGTGTTTGAAAAGTCTGATGTGGTCGTAAAGACTTTCTGTGTCTAAATAAATGCAATACTTGTCAAGAAAAAAGAGACAGTTGTAAATGGGGTGGCTGAACCTAGCTCCTCCCCTGCGTTAAATTATTTTTAACGCCGTTAAACTGGAAAAAATTCATCACATACATTAATGCACTAATTTTAACAGCACTAATGTAAACACATTTGTTACCCTGGACCACAAAAGCAGTCATAAGGGTCAATTTTTCGAAATTGAGATTTGTACAACATATGGAAGCTAAATAAATAAGCTTTCCATTGATGTATGGTTTGTTAGGATAGGACAATATTTGGGTGCAAAAAAATCTAAATACTGAGAAAATCGCCTTTAAAGTTGTCCAAATTAAGTTCTTGGCTATGCATATTACTAATCAATTTAAGTTTTAATATATTTACAGTAGGAAATTTACTAAATATTTTTATGGAACATGATCTTTACTTAAAGGGGTCATGTGATGTTGCTAAAAAGAAAATGTTGTGTATTTGGTGTAATGAAATGTGTTTATGCGGTTTAAGGTAAAAAAACAAAACACTATTTTCCACATACTGTACATTGTTTCTCCTCTATGCCCCGCCTTTCTGAAACGCGTCGATTATTACAAAGCTCATCGTTCTGAAAAGCGAGGTGTGCTCTGATTGGCCAGCTATCCAGTGCGTTGTAATTGGCCGAATACCTCAAGCGTGTGACGGAAATGTTACACCCCTACCATACTGTGATGCCCTGTCCCGGCCGGAGCGATGAGACAAAAACATTAAGCATTTGTTGCATACAGTGAGGACATAATTACTGATTATAATGACTTATACTTTTTTTTACGCTTTGCGTTGCATCGCACCACATAAACCTAAAACCATGTCTGCATTTGTGATTGGAAAAATGACAAACAAGCACTACTCTACACTGCTCAAAACTCGCGTTTCAGTCATCAGTGGCATCAGTCCTTTAAATGAAAACGTACTTCCAGTCTGAGTCAGAACAGCCGGCATTGTAGTCTACTCTTCCAGGATCAG